TGGAAACAGCTGTACTACAACTTGGATACAACAAAACAATGAAAAAAAAAATTACTCACACAGAAGAATATTGAAGGGAGAAACAAAGACACGGAAACCCTAAGGTGTTAGGATTAAACTGCCAGAGAAACAAGCTCCCTTTTTGTCTGCATTAATTAAGCCTCATATAACTATCAATCACCAGCACGGCTTTAGATTCAAGCTTTCAACTGCCAATGATTTATTCCGATCTAGGGAAATCAGCAAAATCTGCTTTTTGCAGCCAGAGTCATAGAATAATGTTACAACACAGTCAGGAGAGTTCATCAAGGACAGCAGTAGTTTTCCAGCTGTACAGGTCTGTATTAGTGAGTGATGTTTAATTGTATGATGGTTTTGATTATGATATGTTGCTATGTTCTACTCCTGCTGCCACCATAGCCCAGAGGGAATTTGCACATGAACATGATATTTCATCATGTTTTTTTGTATAAACAATTGGGGTTTAATAAATTCACTGAAAACCAAATATTAAAATAAACCAACTGCACAATGATCACTGGGGATAACTATATATTGTGCTTTTCGGTGGTTCCTGAATACTGGTGAATGTTGAAAGATACATGCGACTGCTGTCATTGGTCCTTCATGCCTTTTTTCAGAAAAGCCTATTATGCTTCTGTGTCTGAATGCTATGGATAAAGAGCTGTTATCAACCTTGTTAAGATGGCATTTTCCTGGCAGTAAGGGGAGCTGAGCAGGAGTCTCTATGGTGAGAATGTATATCGTGTGCTCCAAAACCTGCTCCGATGCACTGGAGGTGAAGTGAAGGACAATACCCTGATGTTTGACTTCGTTAGAGCAACAGTGGTTCGCAGGGTTTTCAAGTTCTGTGACTGTTGCAGACCTCATGGTGCTCACCTGTAGTTTTTCCATCTCCCTCCTTGATTCTTGCAGCATGCACTACTTAGCTTTAAAGCACATTTAGAAAATTTAGTTGATGATGAAGTCAGCTATTCGCATTTTGTGCATTTTGTACAGACCGGAATAAACATGTAGCATGTCTGATCAGGTTTCTGCACCTGCTTCCTATCTGCTTTTATTATCCCAAATAATGAAATTTAACCTCAAATGGTTAGGGTGCTGCTATTTCCGAGACTATATCCAACACTATGATCCAGCAGAGCAGCAACAGTCAGCTCACACACTCCTGCTTTACATTCTGAGATCTGAAGATGACGTAACCACCAGCAGCATTTTCTCTGGGGTCCGTCTGTCCAAGACTCTTGGCATTCATTTAGAATTATTCATGCCCAAATCTCAAGATCTTCTCAAGACTGCTTTAGTATTTCTTCTATTTTTTTCTTTTTTTACGGAAGACGTATCTACACCTTGTGTTAGTATTTATAACTAAGAGAAGACTATTGCTATTGCAACAGGTCTATTGCTACTGGAGTTCTGCAAAGTAATAAGCAAGTAGCCTGCAATCATCTCTTTCTGTACCCACCACATCCTCAAAAGTCCCTGCAATACCTACAGTTCCTCTTTTAATTAATACCAATTTTAGAAATTGTCAGCAGAAATAGCGAAGGATAAAATGAGTTTATATTTATGGTGCACTAACAAAGCTTCCCAACTTTTAGGATTTCTGCATGTAGGATTTTGCGGGTCTCTTACTTTTGGGGTTTTTGTCACATATTGCATCCCACATTTGGGCACTTAGCAGATTCAGAGGTGTGCCAACAATAATTTGAAAATGTTACTGTTAGTTATTTGTAGCGTTAACATAGGCAAAGGGGAATGCTTAAGTTTGCAGGAATTTTTCTTTGAAAGATAACATCAGAGCTTTTTCAAATTTATCTACTTATCATTTTCTGAGTTCTTAAGAAGAATTTCTTGCTTTTCTGAAGAATAAGGCTGGACTGAATTCAGTTCTATCCTGTTTGACAAATAGTTGCAATGACTGATACCGATTTTTCTCACTTTGCTGATTTTATTTAAACTGCCTGTTGGTTTAAATGCTCAGAGAGATTTTTATAAAAGAAATACTTTTCGCATGCATAGTAGTTTTCCAAAAGTTTTATAGAATTCTCAGAAAGACATATATTTGCAATTTCGAAGACTGTTGGCTAAATATTTTTAAAGCAGTCTTCCTCTTCTGAAAATGAAATAATTCCATGGAGCAATTAATTTGATCAACAGTGTTAGTACTCAAAGTGCAACACATGTAGTGAGCAGTATTCTGGTAAATGGTGGTAAACTCTCACCTCCTCTATAATCTTTGGCCAGATAGTTTAACTAGTTTCAGGAGAAATGCAAGAGAGAATGGCTCTCGTTGCACACTGCCTCCTTCACCAGTAAAACCCAGCCTGCTGCTGAAGGTTTCAGCAAAACACCCTTTTGTACTGAGAGAATTCACAAAGGAGGGCAGGAGATGAACCTGTGGCTGTGTCTGCATTAAAGACAGCAGAAACAAACAGTGTATTGTTTGTGATAAGCATAGCTGCCTCTTAAATGATACCCTGTGACTGTCTATGCTAATGGGCACCTTCGGGTAAAAAAGATGGTGTTAATAAAACCTCTGCTCTGCTTTCCTTGGAACAGCCACTTCTGGCACTCAAAGCAGCTCTCTGCTTCCATCCTCATACACCTTCAGCTTGTAGCCAAGAGCAGCTCCCTGCAATTTATTAAATTAGCTCTTTAAAGGAATCCCTTAAATACACTCTTTCCAAGCAATTTTTTCCTAGTAAGTCTGGGCCAGTGTGCCAGGGCAGGGCAGGAGAGCACAGCTGAAAGAAGACAAAGATGGCTTGAGTGACAGGAGGTGCTATGCACTGGGAGTGGAGCAGAACTGCCTTTGAGCTTTTTCTTTTTATATTCTCCCCTAAATGAAACAGCTCAGATGCAGCAGAAATGGTTTTTTTCTATGTCCCCCTTTTTTTTTTCTCCTGAGCTTACTATTGGGTGGTGCATAATGGCAATTTCTGTAGGGTAAAAAACCCAAAAGAGTAGCTGACATGAGCTGGAGGTCTGATATTAACCATTTCAGGGCAGTGCTCAGTTCAGTGGCTCTATGTTTAGAAGCTCTGTCTTGGACAGCCATTGCTTGAAATCACATCAGGTGAATGAATGACTTCTTTTCCCACTAATAAGAGAAAGCCATCTGGGAGAGCAGCAGTCTACTAGAAACAACTAGAAGAAAACTGTACTTGATGGTGAAAAGACGCACGCAATCCAGCCCATTCCAGAGCAACAGACATTATTTCTTAAGTTGCACAGAACCTTATTCTTAGGACGACATTTTAAGTTCTTCCTTTTATTTTTCTCTTCAGAAGAGGTTGATACAGCATAAGTCTTGATATAAGACCATCAAATCACTTCTCCTACATTATCAACAGCAACCAGAAGGCAAGCACTGTCCATGAGCAACTTGGCACAAGCTGGCAAACTGAAGGGCATGTGTATTGGTTCTCTGTGAAGACAAGCAATAGTTCCAAAAAAGCAGATCACAGTTGATAAGTAAGAGGAACAAAGTTAAGATTAACAACCAGTATTTTTAGCCAGCCAGCCACTCCCAACAATAAGGCTATTGCACCCTTAGTTGCTTTCATTTGCTTTGTATACAGTTATCAAAGCAATTAGTGTTACGACTTTCCTATCACTGTCAACTTAATTGGATACTTTTGTCACCTCAGACTATTGTATTCTGTTATCATAAAAATGAAGTGAAAAATTCATCCTTTTAAACATAAAATTTAAAAAAATAAAATAAACAATTGAATGCAACATCATAGTGTCTTTCAATGCATTTCCTCCTGAATGGGAGAAGCCAGCCGCTGGGCAAGTACTAAACCCCTCCTGGGTTTTGTGTCTGGCAGCCTGCTTATAATGTGATACTAATCCTTTAATTCATACTTCAGCTAAACACACATTAAACACATGAGAAATGTGCTACGGAAGTGATTGAACGACCAGCTCCATAGCTAATAACCCAGTAAATACTCTCCAAAGTCTTTTCCACCACAATTTGGCCTCTCCAGTATGTTTGGACAGCATAAGCTAAACATTTCCGTAACAGGTAGACGTAACCCCCAAACTAGGAACTCTCTCCAGGGCGGTTAATCTTTACTTGCAGTGAGCATTTCTTAACATACTTACCGCTGTGTGTAGCACAAGCGTAGCCAGGCTGTCATTCTAGTTTAGATATGAAGACTGAAAAAACTTGTTTTCTCTGCATTAGGCCTCTCCCTCCTGCTACTGCTGACAAGAGTTACCCTGGTTAGGATTTTTTTTTTTTTTGATTCGGTGTGGAAAGGTCCGGTAAAACGCATAAACCAAAAGCTGCCATTTTAAGTATTGGCATACTTTTTTGGATGGAGAAGAAATGATTTTATATGTATTTCCCCTTTAAAGTTCACAGCACGTGACTGTAGTAATAGAAACTGCAGCTGTAAAGGAAGAAAGACTGAATCTCAGAAGAAACGTTTAAAAAGTCACTAATCAAGTGGGAAACTTCTCAAGAATGAAGCCTAGACGAAGAAAGACAGACATGCAGAGGATTACAAGCAGGTTCACCCTCTTAGAAGAGATGTCTCTAGCTGGCCTTCTGGAAATAAGGGGGCTGACTGACATTGCACTTACTTTGCCGCACCCCAAATAGACAAGGGCTGGAACCACCACTTCTCATGGAGCTGCTATAAAAGCATTTGATTTGCAGGATCTTGCTGGAGCCTGCAAATGTTATCTTACAAGAAAACTGGAGAATGTAGTTAACATGCTTATTAATTAAAGTTGTGGCCTGCATCATGACCCACCCTTCTATGCCTGAATTGCTGGCATGTTTGAGACAAATTCCTTATATAAACAGGTTAATATTTAAAATCTGCCCAGGCACTCTAATTAGTGTCCTTTGCAATACCAGATCAAACAGTCCCAGTTTGTGACTCGTGTGAAGGACAGACTGGGGAGTGCAATGGAAAGCTAATAACAATGGTGTATGAAGGAAGCGCTGACATACTTACAGTTGCATTTCTTCTGAACAAATCTAAGCTTGCATGCTGTTCTGTAGGTGGACAAACGAATGCGATCCAGATCCTGAGCCCCTAGTGGAAGAGAGTAACAGCGTCATTTGTATGGAATATGACCTGTGCATATCTTTGCTAGCAGGAAAGCCTGAGAACAAAAAGGACACATGAGCTGACTCTGTTTAATAATTTTCAAGGCTCTCCCCTTTGCAGGGAGAGTAGAGAGGGGTGAGGAGAAAGAAGGGGAATGGCAGGAGCTACAGTATTAAAAGACTTTTATAAAGAAAGGCAAGGAACAGTCAGCCCACTGCCTCTGTCACTTTGAAGAACAATCTGGTCAAGCTGCAGGCTAAAAGACACGCTGGCCAGGCTCCAACAGCAGGGAAAACCTCCATCTAATTTTAATATTTAACAATAAAGCTCATAACAAATATCTTTGGCTGACATGTCTGCTCAGAACAAGGTATTGCCAGTAAACCAAGTAAGAAAAAATATCGATGCCATGACAAAAAGACTGATAGCAATCTGCAGAAGGGGGGCAAAAATAATGCAAAGGGTGTGAGGCCTTTCTCTATTTTGCAGAGGTATGTTCTCTGCAATGGAGACCTCAGAGGGTCAGCTCTCTGTTTCACACATAGCTTGGCCCTGGCTGTTCCAACTTAAAGATCTGGCAACATTTCCAAAGCAGCTGTCCAGGAGATGAGTATAAACTGACTGGTAGCTACTTCACATACAAGTGCAGCAGAGCAGGACCAGGATGGGGGCAGAACCTGGCACAGTGTCTTTAGGCCTCCTGCTGCTTTGTACCACTCGTAACACTTCCCAAACCCCCCAAAAGTAGATGAGGAGATTGTGATTTAAATCTTTCTCCTTTGTGGCTGGTACGTCTTAAAGAAGTGTTGCCTCACAGCTACAATACGGCCTATGAAATACAAGACTGCTTACTAATTTTACCACACGTTCAATGGAAACACATTCAGTTACATTTTTGCGTATTTGCTTTTTCACTGTGGTTGGCCCTGTAACAGGAGTAAAACCTGTTCTATTCAGTTGAGCAAGGTACCAAGTTACAAAAACCAGAGTTTCTCAAGGAACTGTCCGCATGAAACACATCCAAACAAGGTACAGTCAGGCTGCAAGAGAAGTGGAGTGGAATATGGCCCTATTCTGCTTTTACACATGCTTCCTGAACGCTTTCTCTAAGATTCCTCTTGACATTATTAGATTGGCCGCTCAGTTGCCCTGTTGTACATGTGGCCATGTTGGCATCGTTCACCCACACTTTCTTAAACAATCTGCCATCCTTTGGACCCAAATTTTTCAAATGTGCCCTGACCTGTGAGATGAAAACAAGAATGATACTCTCCCCTCTCCACAGACTCTGCTCTTTTCCTGACCGAATTCTCCCACGCAATCTTCCCAGGGCTCCCAGCTACTCCCTTTTGCCCGTTGGCTGTCTTAACACCATCTGCTTCTGGGAGAACCTACCTTTAACTACTTACCTTCAGGTCTGGAAAGCTTTTTTTATTTTTTTTCATCATATGCTTTATTGTTAAATTACACAGGTTTTTCTCTTCTCCATTAGTATCTCACTGACAGCTTTTGGAAAACTTCTTAACTGGTAAAGGGGAGGATAATGCTTGTAACACCTAAGTCTTTCCTTTTTTAACAGGACCAATGAGTAAAATGAATTTAACTTTTTCCCTCTTAACTTTAGTGAAAGCTACTAACAAAAGCTTCCAGTGCTCCTTTATAAAACTTCACCCTTTTAACAAGATGTAAAGATTCAAAGCAAAATGAGACTCTGGTTCATTGAGCTTCCTAGGTTGCAGTATTAATCCTAAATAAACGAGTTTGCAAGCAATAATGTTGCTTTTTTTCTTTACTATTTACACACACAGTGGATGGTATTATTTTAATATTATTTTGGGAGTAGGTGTTTTTGCTGTTAAATCCCTGGAACAGACAATTAAATTTTACCATGATTCACATTTTGCCGCAGTCAGACATCTATTTTTCAAATAACTTCTGTAGAAAAGTGACTTCACTTACATGGACAGTCCTGAAAAACAAGTGGAAAGATGTGCAGGACTGAGCATGGCAAAAGAGACTGTGAATTTGTAACTTGCCTACAGGACTGCCAGTGGCTGCTCCTTCCTTTTGCCCACTGGCAGTGTTTCACTGTTTCCTTTGAATATGCTCATCTCATGTAACACTGTTTGCAGTTTGCAAAAATAACAAAGAAGTGATACGTTGCAAGCTTTGGCTGCTGATTTCTTGCTGGATAATACGTGCTGGCAGCAAAATAGTGATGTACATTTTGAACTTCTTTCATCAGTCTGGATATACCTGAGCATGTCAGGGAAGACTAACGGTAGCCTAGTGATTTGACATCCAATGGTGCATTTTGAGATATAAGACACAATTTAAGTTTTAACCACAGGATTCTACACAATACGATATTGATTATGATACTAATTCACAAAGGTTTGTAATCTGGAACTAGAAAGAGGCCTCTTCTGAAGGAAAGGAAACAAAAAAGTCAAACTAAACTTCTTTAAATACAGTGAATATCACATAGTGGCCCAAATCTAGAGTAAGAGTCAAATCCATCTATTCCTTGTTCAGATCAAATTTCCTACTTTAAAAGGCAGGAAAAGTTGCATTTTTTTTTTTTCTGTCTTGTGTAGTCTGGAACACGACCCACTCTCTAAAAGTATTGTGGGGTTTTAATCACAGACATGCAGATATGACTGCAAGAACCTAAACCACTGTCAAAAAGTCCTCTGTATTATGAATTTTCTTCCTCTAACATCGGCGGGTTGTGGAGTTTAACTTTTTATCATAAGCTTATATCTGTTATAATGTCAAGAAGCTCTGCATGGCCAACAGTATGTAGGGTGTGTCGAGCACATGGGTTTTGTTAAACGTGGATCACGTGGGCCTGCACACAGCTGAGGGCACCTGAACGCAATGCCAGGATGAGCTTCTGTTTCAGGGAAGGAATCCACACAGGAATCCAAAGGACTCTCAAAATGCAAAATTCAGTGTTGTATGAGTATGGACATTTCTTCGCCTAAAGCATATTTAGTTTTTCACAAAGACTTAGTATTTCCCCCTCTTTTTACCTAGTTGGAACCCAGTTCTCTGTGTGCATGCGTAATAGGAGGAGGAAGGGAGGAGGCAAATAGAAAAGGGAAGCACACATGAGATAAACCAGACTCAAGTAAATACATCAAAATACTAAAATGAGAAAGAAAAAGTAATAAACAATAACAATTTGTGTACAGTATGGGAAAATAGTCTCTCCTCCACCTTTAACAGCTGATTGTAAACTTTCCCAACACCTCCTTAACTCCTCCAAAACAACCTAATAGCAAAACAGCCTTCAAAACTGTGGGAACAAACCATAAACCCTCACGGCAAAGTCTTAAGCAATTATCTTCCATTTTAGGAATATTTCAAACTAACTGAAGTTAATGGAAGTTGTGCTATTGACTTTAGCTGATACAAGCTCAAGTCCTCTCTATAATTCTAATTTAGAATATAGTATGTTCTGATAATGGAAAAATGCATCATCCAAGTGCATCATCCTTTTTTCTTGGTTTTTTTTTTTGTTTTTTTTTTTTTTCTTCTGGCCAAAGAACAACCCCTCCCTCCACTGGTCCAAGATGCTGTACACAAGGGACAAGAGAAATATCCATCCGAGTTGCAACAGCAAGCCTTGTGTGATACTGAAATAATTACAGGGCACAATGGAGCTAGTGGACACAGTGGAATGGGCCAAGACCGATCTCAGCAGGCCATGTGAATGAGAAGTCCTTAATCTGGAGAGCTCAGGAGCATAGATGTAGGGCATTCGGTCACCCCTCGGCTCACCCCCAGAGAACAGTCCCGAGCACGTTTAATTCACCAGCACAGACCGAGCCCTTCAGTGCGCATAGCTGCTCAAGTCCCAGTAATGCCCATCTTAGTCTCCCCCAGAAGACGGGGGAGATGCTCTGTCATTTTTCAGTATGTTGCAGGGGACAAATAATAGGAAGCTTAGTAATTACAGACAGAACTTAGGTAAATCTAGTAACAGGGTGACAGTCTCCAACTTCATCTGTAATAGAATTTCCTTGAGAAATGGTGGATTGTTCGTAAAAGAAATAGACGACTGTTGAGGGAACTGCAGGAACATTGTTAGTATAGTACATCCCTGACACACTATTCTGCAGGGAGCACAAAGCTTCACTAGAAACTATAAAAAATGTGCTGAAGCGGGGTATGTAGTATATGAGTCCCTGTACTGTGTCTGGCTGGGATGGAGTTAACTTTCTTTATAGCAGCCTGCATGGTGCTGTGTTTTAGATTTGTGGCTAAAAAAGTGTTGATAACACACCAATGTTCAGCTATTGCTGAACAGCGCTTGCACAGCATCCAGGCCTTTTTGTTTCCTACTTTGTCCCCTCCCAGAGTCGGCTGGGGGTGGGCAAGAGGTTGAGAGGAGACACAGCCAGGACAGATGACCCCACCTGGCCAAAAGGATACTCCATACCTTAAAATGTCATGCTCAGCAATAAAACTGGGGTAGGGAAAGAAGGGGGTGGGGAATTTTGTCTTCCAAGGTGGACATTGCTTGGAGACTGGCTGGGCATCAGTCTCTTTTGGGAGGTGGTGAGGGACCACCTTTGCAACACTTGTGGTTTTTTGTTGTCTTTTTTTTTTCTCTCTTTCAAGCTCTTAACTGCATCTCAAGCCATGAGTTTTCTTGCTTTTGCTCTCCCTATATTCTCTCGATCCCACTGGGGGCTGGTTGGGGATTAAGCAAGTGGTTGTGTGGGTGTTTAGCAGCTGGCTGGGGTCAACCCACTACAGATAGCTCCACTAAAAGATGTAGTCTTTTGGGGACCTTTATCCCTCTTCATTGCTACCTGTGTATTGCAGTATTTTTGTCTCAAGAAGCTACTGATTAAAATAATACAATCACAAAATCTGATGTAGAAAATCCTTCTCTCCTGTAATTTGGTCAAATCAGCCCATTTTCCTGTAGTTTTGGTCTCATGACATTAAGCCATTTGTGAAATGGAGATATAAGTTACCTGAGGTTGAATGCTTGCATAGATTTTACTGACACTGCATTACAACTGGCTTGGTCTATCACAGCGAAACATTTCTTGGAAGTACTTACGCATTTCTGCAAACAGCTGCCTTCTTTCTGCCATGGTATTTCCTCTTTTCCCACAATCTTCAATCATTCTGGAAGACAAAATCATGTGAAAATATTGAGCATTATCCCAGACTGAACATATGTACATAAGCATCCATAATTGATCCCGGAGAACCTTTGAGGTTGACTGGTGCTCCGTGTGTACCCAATGCCTTTTGCTAGCCTCTCTGTGGCACAGTTTGAGGAGAAGCTGGTCCCCAAATTGTCCTCCATTCCCTAGACTCTGCTTTCAAGCATTTGTTTTTCTCTCCTCTCTCTCCCAAAGGCAATGTTCAGTTTTTCTGCTTGATGTAACTAACTGACTTACATAACACAAGCTCTGAAATTCATTTTAGGTTTTCTTAAATAAGGAATCTTCAGTTTAAATTATGTAAGAGAGAAGAAATCATAAAAGATTTGAATATTACTTTATAGCATAGAAAATGCCTTTCTAGCCAATTCTGGGTGGAGGAGACAAAAAAATAACACAACAACTAAATCTCTACTCCACAACATAATACTCTCTATTTACTCAAGCAAATACACTCCAAACATTCATTCAAATTCAAGACAGTACGTCTCTGATTAAATGAATTCCAGTAAAAGGCTCAGAAGCAAGAATATATTTTCCTTCAGTTTTCAGATATAAAATCTTCAGAATATTTTGAAGAGCGCTACTGCTGGATAGAGCACAGAGAAAAGAGGCAGCTTACTTCACAGCCAGAATCCAAACCATAAAAGACTAAAGCCTTCAGAGTAAAGATAAACATCTTTAGCAGCACTCAAAAAATGAAACCAGTGTCAGCATCACCACTTCCTATGGGTAATTACTCTAGCAAACCAATATCGTTTCCTCCCTGCCAAGCCTGGTTAGGGCTTCTGACCTGCATTTTAATCTACATCCTTGTCTCAACTAGACTGTGTAAAATAACATTGGGCCACCTGGGATATAAAGGAGATGCTCTGTAGAGGCCTGCAAGCCAAAATATTCCACTGTATCCCATAGCAAACCCACATATGTATATAACAGGAAGGATAAAAGTACTGGATGCTGAAGTCTACCATCACCAAAGGACTCAGGAGGGAAAACCAGTTTCCTTTTATTTCTTGGAAAAAGCAGGGCAATCACATAAGAAGTGTTTTGTTGTGTGGGTTTTTTTTTCCTTCCAAAATGTGCTGTTCAAATGAAGTGGTGGTACATTATAACTGCTTTTTCCAAATGGTCTGTTAAATTCTCAGAGTACTGATAAAGGCTCTGCTAAAGTGCTATCTATGGTGGACATTTTGTGACGTGAGCAGCAGTCCCACTAAGAAGTGGGCAAAGGGTATGGCTGCAGCCTGTTTGCAGGGATATTCAAGTTCACCCTTATGCTCTAATTTGGCCGGGAGTGATACAGATGTGTGCAGCATAGCATTAAGTCTGAACTAATATATCCTGCCTTTCTGCAGAGATAATAGCTTTCAGTATACTGCTTTACAGAAGTGGCCACACAGCCTCTGATCTGGAGGTAGCTGGCGTCTTGCTAGCTTAGAGGGGTCAGGGAAGACTCACACCTACCTGCAAAACGAGATATACCTCAAGATACGCCAGACCCAACCTGCATCATAATTAGACAGCAAGTAGTAATATCTTTTGTACATGGATCAGCTTTAAATCTCTGCCCGTAAAAGATGAAAAATGATGTAATCCCACTAACCCCAGCTTGAGTTCCCCACTCCTTTCTGTTTCTAATTGAACTTACAGTAGGAGACAAATTTGCCATAAATGACCAGATCTCATAGGACAGGTGGGTTAATAAAGCCCTTGGAAAAGACAGCATCTTTCAGCAGGCAGGGCGGTTGAGTGAATACTTCAGAGCAAATACAATTTCAGATTAACTTTTATTATTTGTAGAGTGAGTCACAGGCCATCATAATTTTCTCTGACTTCTCCTATATTCAGAATTACTCTACAAACAATGTGCCACTGGTTTTTAGACTATATACTGTTCATATTAATTGACTGAGATTGGGTTATTTTGATTTTGGCACAAGGATTACATCATCTTCTTTCAGTTTTGATAAAATTTACACTTAAATCTTACAGATTTTTTTCCATTTATTAATTTGCTGTTTTCATTCCACCAATGTTCTCTAACATTCGTGAAATAATCACTGGTCTCATGTTGATTACTGCAAACTTTGTTGAAAACAAAAGGGGTGCAACTTTATTCTTCCTTCCCTCATACTGCCTCTTGGATAAAAATATTCCTTAGCTATCGCTTTCAAATATCTACAGAGCACCCACTGGAACGTGGCTCACCTGTGACCTTATTCACCACGCAGAAGAATTTTCCCAGTTGAAATTAAGTAAAAAAAGGTATTTTTCAAATAATGCAAATTGTACAGCAAGTTCTCCACTTCCTTCAGAGAGCCCATTCCTAAAGTGTCCTTTCAATGGGGTAAAAATCATTAACTGATTTTCCCTTTTGTGCAATTCATCCTCCCCTTACTTTTATTGATGTTTACATCTCCTTATATAAAATGTTCCCCGGACCTAATCATCATTTTTCAGAATGTCCCATTACCTAGTGAAACTGAATCACCCTTTCCACTGCTGGGGCTTATGGGGATTACCAGGCCTAACAAATAACTTTATATTTATACACACACAACTCAAGCTTCCTTGGAGAGAGAAGAAATTTTGTATTTGTATTTTTAAGACTCTCACTGCACTAGATATGTTGCAGATTTTAAAATAGCTTTCATCCCAAATGACAATCCTAAAATCCTCTGCAATGGGATATATGCCATTAAGCTAATGAGAACATCAGCAGTGGCAGTATTTTCAGATAGGTATCTTCTACCCCTCCTTTGCATCTTCTCCTGACAGAAGAAAAAATTATAGATGATGCTCATCAATATTGTTATTTTTGAGTTGCCATTGATAGGAATTCACTTAACTGTGTCTTTGAAGCTTTTTGCATGCATTTTTAACTCCAGAATGTGCTACAGCCCAGGCTCAACTAATGCCATTGGTCATGGGTGTTGGGCATCTCCCTTTTCAGTCTTGTTCACCTTGATCCAGCTCACAGGTACACAGCTCAGCTCTTTAACTCAGATTACAGAGACTCACGCTTTGAGCCTGCGATGCGCTCAGCTCAGTCCCTGGGGCTGGCCGTGAGCATAATTGACTACAGTCATGTTCCAATATTTCTCACTTTACTTATAACACTTGTCAAGTCACAGGAAAAAAGTACAATTTGTTCTACAGGGGAAAAGAGCAAATCACAAAGTGAACTTTAATGTACTTTACAAACCAGAATAAATGATCAGAGACATAATTTTGAAAAATATTAATTAATGTACACTCTTCCCATAGTAGGGATTAGATTATATTTGTCTTCTATCGATTCCTTCCACTATCTTTTTCCCTTCACTTTTCTCCCCAGGAAATAGCTCCTCCACTGCAGGTAGGGAGAACACCTCCTGTGCATCTAATTAAAATTCTTGTCACGGGCTAATTAGTAAGGTACTAATTAGCAAAGTATTAAGGCTTCAATATATTACAGACATTCCAGAGCAGAAATCATTCCAAGCATAAGGTTTCCAGCCTCTGAGAAAGATACCATGAATGTTACATTTCTATCAGTGTTTCAGGCTGAAAACTTACGACATTTGTAGCGCTTGAAGGAAAAGAATAAATAAAGAAATAATTTAGTTTGATTTGAACATTTTTGATTACAATTTCACTTTCATGCTTATCATGTACCAGAAGCATAGTTGGTCTGGTTTTTAATATACTTTATTTGTTTATAAAATCTGACAGGGAATAACATATAATATACGTAAGGTGAGAACTAAATGCCCCATTTTTCTTTCCTTTGCTGTTGTGCTGCTTTGATTTATGAGTACTGTAATAATGCCTCTCACACATAAGTGTTTTTCTTGTTTTAGTATTTATAGGGTAAATAGCATATTTTACTAACCCCCGTTTTATGTCATCCTTCTTGTAATTAGTGTATTTCCATTTCCTGAGCTATCTCTATGCATGGTAAAAGCAATGCCTGCCACAATTAAATCATTAGGTCCAAAAAAACATTCAAAGAAGTAATTGCCTGTATACCTGGAGAAGGAGCTCCCCTCTGGAGAGTTCTATACACTTCCCAGGAGACTGTCAAAAATTCCCGACCTGACACACACATGCACACACAGTTTGATGGCTCTGAGAAAAGCAACCCCATTAACACTTCCACAAATCTCCATCCTGTTCATCCGTGACGGATGAAGTACTCCAGGGAGGTGGGAAGCACGCCAGTGAGGAAAATCGTCTGCTGAAATTGATTAATTGTGGCATGAAAAATTTATCAAGTACCATGTGATGGCTGTGACGCAGCCATGCATTTGACAAAAGAGGCTCCGAATCCTGACCAGTGACATTCCTGACGGTCTTTCAGGCTGGATAAAAGTTGGTTTTTCCATCACAGCAGGCACAGAGGAAAAAGAAGAACACTTGTCTCTCCCCGAGTCTTGTCCAGTCGTGCTTGCTGCGGCTTGGAAGTGCTTGGAGCATTCTGGGATGCAACTTCTAGCTGGAGGTTTTGCTCCAGAAGACGGGTAAAACCAACAGTGAGTATCTCAAGATCACTTTTGTAAAAAGTCCCATCATTTGGTAGAAAGTATCAACCAGGCTCAAGCATCCTTTATTCTGAGCAGTCTGTATTTCCCTAGTGAGGAAATCTTCAACTCCTGATATAAACAGCTATTTTTTTTCTTCCATGAAATGTCAAATGTTAGATATTCGCTTTGGTATCACTGGGAATTGGAAGCATTAGGATGCAGAGAAATGTGCTGGTTTCTCAGTGACTATTTTTCATGCTGTTGACAAATCAGATGCTATTTTCTATGCAGCTGGTCAATATTTAAACCCAGCTTTGAGCAGACAACAGTAACATTTTTCAGCAGCACAGGCTTCTTGTCTGACATTGCTTGGGACAGTTTTATCAAAATGCCCTGCATACAAAACAAACTGCTATTCCTTTTCAGAATTTACCAGCACCAGAAATTTTGATTTATGAAAATGAAAGA